TGGTCATGCCTTAACTTTGAAATTTCTGTATTGCATTAGTTTTTAATATTTCTCATGGGTATTTAATCATTTTCGGACTTTCAGTCTGAGTTAAATCTCTTTTTTTTTTGGCTCATTTTATCTGTAAAAGAAAATCTGCTTAATAATTATGCACACTTGAATATAAGAAATTTTTCACTTCCAGCCTTCATGAATAATTATATATCAATTATAAACGATTAAATACAAGATTAATAGTATTATTAAGATTGATGTTGTTTGGAATTAGTAAAATGTGCTTGGAAAAAAATATGATCAGAATATCAACTTGCATAATAATTATGCATGCACTGTATTTTTCCTCTTCTGCTGTCCAGGAATGTTGTTATTGGTTGTGATTGGTTGTCAAGGCAGCCAATCAGAATTTAGCAGCCTCGGTCTCTGATTGGCTGGAATTATGGCACATTGTAACGCTGGGTTGTGTTGAGCACGCGAGCTGTTGGCATTTAGAGAGCACTGAGGGCGGGCATCAGGTGAGCAAGCTAGTGAAACGTTGCACGCGCAAAAGAGAAGGTCTGCACACATCCAAAAACGTATTTTAAATGCAAAATTGATTTTCGTGCGCTCGAAATACTTTCTTCTTTGCGAGACAAACATTTTCTCCACAAAACTCAGATCACGTGCGTGCAAAACACACTTTTGCGCGCTCAAAATATGATCTTTCGCGTGCAGAATTGTGGCAGAGATGTAATCCCATAAGACAGCACCATAATGGCTGGAGATGTATGCATGAATACAGCTCCACATGAGCTTTTAAGAGATTCTATAATAAAGGAATAGTTCACCCCAAAACGAAATTTGTAGATGAGTTTGTTTCTTCATCTGAACAGATTTGGAGAAATTCATCATTACATCCACTTGCTCACCAATCGATCCTCTGCAGTGAATGGGTACCGTCAGAATGGAAGTTCAAACAGTTGATAAAAACATCACGATAATCCACAAGTCCAATTAACTTCTTATGACTTGAAAAGCTCAGGATTTATAAGAAACAAATCCAAAATACCAGTCCATAATCCACAATAACACTTCATCAAATGAAAAATTGTCCTCTCACATCAAAATCCAGCAACATATTTGTTTATAACTGTTTTGGCTTATAAAACGTGCTTGGTCTGTCTGTGCATGACCTGTTTATTACATGCAGCTTTTCACTTCACAAGATGTTAATTGTTGGACTGGGTTTATGTGGATTACTAGAGTATTATTATGATGTTTCTATCAGCTGTTTGGACTCTCATTCTGACAGCACCCATTCACTGCAGAGGATCCACTGGTGAGCAAGTGATGTAATGCTAAATTTCTCCAAATCCATTCCGATGAAGAAACGCTCTCATCTACATCTTGAATGGCCTGAAGGTGAGTACATTTTCAGCAAATTTTTGGGTGAACAATTCCTTTAATAATTGAGCAGTTTCGCCAGTTAAAGTAGATCATGTTTTTTGGGTGCAAAAGTTTTCTGTGCAAAATCTCATGTGGTAGAAAATGATTTTACTCTTCCATTACTCGAAGACTTGCGCTTTTACAATATTGATTTTTCTGTCCACCAGTTAACATGACCATGTGGGCCATGATGTATTTGAAGTACTCTGTTTAATTTCCCCATTAGCTTGTCACTAAAACAAGCTATCAGCCCAGTTGCTGCGATACTGCGGTCAGATGAACATACTGTGTAGCTTCAGCCGTTACAGGTCTTGTGAGAAAACGGAGTACTCCCTGTTCCCAGCAGTTGTCAAGATGTTAACCCCCCAGAAACAACCAGAGCGAGGTGTCGATTGAGTGATGGTCTCCATAGCACATGACATGCTCTTGTTTCTCAGTGCGACATGCTTTCTGAACACTTTAACTCTGTGATCACTTTTCTCCTGAGAATAATCAATGGCCCACCGTATTAGCTACTGCTGTTTACTTGGTAAATACAGCAGCATTTGTTTATCAAGTCTCAATAAATTGCTTTGGCAATATCAGTTGAATGAATTGCAGTCACTGTTCATGCTACAATAAGCTAAACTGCTGAACAAAATATTTACAAAACAGAAATGGCTGATGTCAGCTTGTCTATGACATGAGTTTTACTATAAGCAATTGCTATTTATGTGCTCCTGGGAGACTAAAACAGTCGCTGTGACACACGCCCCCATACAAACACACTCTCACACTTTCGTGCTTCCCCTTTAAAATTACCTTTAGTCAGGATTTCAGCGCCACAGCTTCCCATTAGAAACAGATTGGGTTTTCATCAACACTAAATTACCCATGCTGCGGAGGCTTTTAGTGAAGCATGGTGGAGTAGGGAGATGGATAGAGCCCTCTCTTTTAGGGTGGGAGAAGAAAGAGAAAGCCTGCATGTTTAATGGCCATTAGGGAAGCCAGTGCTTTTTTTTTTTTTAATGGAAATAGCTAGGTAACATAATTGTGATAATTTCTTATTGAGCACATCAAAGTAAAGATAATGCCTATTTATGTGTTTCAAAAATATGTAAATGTAGATTGCTACTGTATAGTTTCCTACTGATATCCTGCTGAATATTTGATCCCTCTAAGCCTGCAACCGATGGTTACTATTGGTAGATCTGACAAGCTTTCATGTTAGTGTTTTTATGTAGGCAAAGAAAAGAATGCATTGAGTGAATTTTCTGTGGTATTATTTAAGAACATCTAGAACAACCTTGAATTTAAATATAAAATTATAGTTGCCAAGAAGGTACCATTTTCAGTATGCTTTTAGGTTTTATTTGGCATAAAGAGCTAACACTAGACAAGAGCAAGTTTGTTAGAATACTTGGCAGATGGCAATAGTAGCCAGGGTAGGATTGGTCAGTTTTGTTTTTAAAAAAAATGTTTTTAAGGCCGGGCTTAGCGAAAGGTTCATTGACCTTCTTATCTTAACCACCTGTTTATGTTTGTACAAAAAATGTACACTACCATTCAAAAATTGAGGTCAGTAATTTTTTTTTAAAGAAATTAATACTTTTATTCAGAATTTTTTAACAAGTTATAGTAAAGCCATTTATGATGTTACAATAGATTTCTATTTCAAATAAATGTATTTCTTTTAAACTTCAAGCAGCAAAACTGTTTTCAAAATTGATGATGATAGGAAATATATTTCTTGAGCACTAAATCAGCAAAATTCAGCTTTGTCAGCACATGAATAAATTACATTTTAAAATATATTAAAATAGGAAATTCATTTAAATTATAATATTTCAAAATATTACTGATTTTACTGTATTTTCTTATCAAATAAATGCGGCCTCAGTGAACATAATGGACTTCTTTCATTTTTCAAAAATTCTTGCTATCGCCTTTTGAAACATAGTCTAAGATAAAAAGAAGTTTTTGCAATAAATTACCTTCCTTTAAATCTTATTTTGTAGCTTTCATGATGTTTTCATAATTGTAATGTTAGAGGCACGTTGCTTACTCATATGCTCTTTTAAAGAGAGCATTCTCTTGCAGTATTCCATGTCACTTGTGGAATCACGAGAGTTAGGCTAACCAAAGGAAGCATTATATTGTAAGACCTTCCACATCCTTATCTGTCTCTGTCTGATTCTGTCTGAAGGAGCTCTGCTCCCTCAGCCTGGATTATGAACACAAAGCCATCATTGTGAAACCACCCAGCCTGCTGTCAAAATAGACCTATTAAATCAAAACAAAACTCAAACTTTCCTATCAGTCTCTTTAGATGCTACACCAAAGTTTCCAATTTCACAAAATAAAACTGTGTCCCTCTGCATGGCCCATTCAGTCTTGGCAGGCTTGGGCTATCAGCAAATCTGATAATCCCACTTTTGTGAGTCAGTCCTGTTTTTCTAAATTTGACATTTTCCTACCATGGGCCTGTATTTTTTGGCATGTTTATAGAAAGATTGTAATAAGTTTATCAGTCAAACCAAAAATTATTCAGAGACCAGATATAATTTTTTATATTTTTTTACTATTTTTTAACTGTCAAACACATCTTACCCGCAAACATACACTCATTTTCATCCTTCTCTCCACTCTCTGATGCAGAAGTGTCTAAACTCATCCTTTCCAATCATCCTACTAGTTCGCTTGATCCTATTCCATCTCATCTCCTTCAAGCCATTTCTCCTGCTGTTGTACCTGCACTCACTCACATCGTTAACAAATCCCTTCACACTGGTGTTTTTCCCTCAACATTTAAACAGGCTCATATAACCCCACTTCTTAAGAAACCCACTCTTAACCCAGTTTGAGTCTTACCTCTCAGATAGGTCCTTCAAGGTATCTTGGAGAGGTGAGGTGTCCAAGTCACAAGATCTAGCTACTGGGGTGCCTCAGGGCTCAGTACTTGGACCACTTCTCTTCTCTGTCTACATGGCATCACTAGGTTGTCATTCAGAAACATGGCTTTTCATATCACTGCTATGCTGATGACACTCAACTCTACCTCTCATTCCATCCTGATGATCTGACGATAGCTGCTCGCATCTCAGCATATCTAACAGACATTTCTTGTTGGATGACGGATCATCACCTTTAACTCAACCTGGCTAAGACAGAACTGCTTGAGGTTTCAACAAACTCATCACTTTATCAAAATTTCACCATCCAGTTAGGCTCATCAACCATAACTCCTTCAAAAACAGCTAGAAACCTTGGAGTTGTGATTGATGATAAGCTGAATTTCTCAGACCACATTGTTAAAACGTAAGATTTGCTTTATACAACATTAGGAAGATCAGGCCCTTTCTTTCAGAACATGCAACACAACTCCTTGTTCAAGCTCTTGTTCTATCCAGGCTGGACTATTGCAATGCTCTCTTGGCAAGTCTTCCAGCCACTTCTATCAGACCTCTACAGTTAATCCAAAATGCCGCTGCAAAATTAATCTTTAATGAGCCAAAAAGAACGCACATCACACCTCTGTTCATTAATTTGCACTGGCTACCAGTAGCTGCTCGCATAAAATTCAAAGCATTAATGTTTGCCTACAAAACCACCACTGGCTCTGCACCCTGGTGGAATTACCTGCCCAACTCAATCCGAGCAGCTGAGTCCTTAGCCATCTACAAAAAAACAACTAAAAACACATCTGTTCCATCCTTATTTGACCCTCTAACTTTCTATTCTATTTTAATTCTACTTTATCTATTTATCTTTTTTTTATTTAAAAAAACACTAGCTTTCAATTTTTTCTATTCTATCTACTTTTTTTTCTTTGTGTGTTTATGTATGTATATATATATATATATACTGTATATATAAAATAAAAAATACCTTGCTATACTTACTGCGTTAGGCTAACCGAGACTTGTCATTTGCACTTACATATTGTTGCTCTTTTGTTAGTTTTGGGTGCTTCTATTGTCCTCATTTGTAAGTCGCTTTGGATAAAAGCGTCTGCTAAATGACTAAATGTAAATGTATATATTTCAGTCCTTGGTAGTACAACTGAAGCAAACAATCATTAAAGTCTAACGCTTTTTATGTACTCTTCTCACTTTAAATACTTCGGTGAGGTAATAAGAATATTGGTAACACTTTAGTGTCCAATTCTCACTATTAACTAGTTGTTTATTAGCATGAATTTTACTGGGATATTGGTTGTTTATTATTACTTAAAAAACACATTAATGTCTTATTCTGCAAGACCTTATTCTAAATCCTTAATCCTACCCAATTCTTAAACTTAACAACTACTTCTTAAACTTAACAATTACTTTACTGAGTATTAATAAGCAGTAATTAGGAGTATATTGAGGCAAAAGTCATAGTTAATAGCTAATTAATAGTGAGAATTTGACCCTAATCTAAAGTGTGACCAGAATAATTGATGTAGTTATCTATTATTTATTTGAAAGAATTAAAAGAACCATTTTATTTCTATCCTTGTATCATTAACTTGTCGAGGTTGATATAGGATTTAGAAAGTAATTAGTAATAAGT